CGAACTCCCCGCTGAGATGTTCGGCAGAGTTGGCCAACCTCACCGGCCGGAGATCCTCATCGAGGTAGTACACAAGCGGCACCGCTCGAGGGATTTCCACGTGCATGATGTCCTGACGGTTTCCGCAAAGTGTTTTTTTTTTCATTTTGAATCGGGGGCGGGGGATCGAGGGAACGGGAGAGTACGCAATCGGTATTGATATTTTCGTAATTCGGTAAGGTCTGATACACTATACACCGAACTCAAAGAAAGCACACACGGCGGTAGAGTAGTGGTACATGGTAAGGCAACACAGGGAACGTAATTAGCTTGCGGGAGACCAAATCCACAAAAGTAGACAGTGAGCGCAGGAGTCAAGTAAGAGGCTTGATGAGTCTCACCGCGTTCGAGATGCCGTCGATGTACTTTAGGAGGGAGCGAAGGTTGTTCTCGTGGCCGCAGACACACACACGCTTGCCGGACCGGATGGCCGGTGCGATCACCTGCTCCCAGGTGTGGGTTTGAAACGGCAACGAGAGCAGCGGCGACAACAGCAGCAGCAGCAGCAGCGACAGCAGCAACAACAAGAACAACAACAACAAAGTGTTGGTGATTAAATCACGATTGCGGCAGCAGCGACGACAAGCAACGACAGCAGCAGCAGCAACACCAACAGAAGCAGCAGCAGCAGCAGCAGCAGCAGCAGCAGCAGCAGCAGCCAACAACAACGACAACAACGTCGGCAGCGATGACGACAATGACAGGACAAAAAAAAAAGTGTGACGATGCACGCCCACCTGTGCCCTCAACTATTTGCCTGAAACATCATAAATGTATGAAGTATATTGTTCAGAAGTCGACAGGATCATGCCGCCCCTGCAGCGCCTCGTGTACAACACACACACGAAGTGATGACGACACCAAAAACAAACAACAACACTCTGCTTCCCACAGGAGCGAGCAACGAAGCCACCCCAACCATCAACAACGACAATCTCTAGTTTTCTCCTTCCCTCCCAAAGATTCAAGTCCTTTGCGGTACTCGAAGAATACCGTCGTGCCTGTCGAACGTGAAACGACTGGCTACCCGGGATGCCGATCGCTACTATGACCACCACCATGACCACCACAACGGCGTCGCTCACTCCCAAAGGTCCAAGCCCTTTGCGGTTCATGAAGAAGAACACAGCCGTGACCCGTTTGGGTACCCGGAATCTGTTTTTTGGCACAGCAAACTCAAGGAGAAGATGACCGGCTTCTTTGTGATGAGAGAGCCTGGGTCGGCGACAACCCTTAATACCGTTCTGTTCCGGTATCGTGTGGGGATGTGAGGTCAACGGTCTAATGACTGCGGCATGCACGGCTGTGAGTACCCCCCCCCCCCCCCCCCCCCCCCCCCCCCCCCCCCCCCCCCCCCCCCCCCCCCCCCCCCCCCCCCCCCCCCC